TGAAAACAGGGGCACTTTCATAAAGTATAAGAGAAAAAGCTTGTTTCTGTAATGGGCTTAAACTGAGTATCAAGGGAAAATTCAGGAATTATCTATAAAAGAACCTAGCCCTGTGACACATATCTATAATCCCAGCTACTCAAGAAGGTAAGGCAGGAGGATAGAAAGTTCAAGGCAAGTTGGGGCAATTTAGGAAGACCCAGCCTCTAAATAAAATTAAAGGACTGGAGATGTAGCTCAGTGGTAGAGCACTCTGGGTTCACTTCCCAGTACTGGGAGTGAGGGGAGCCTTGAAAAAAGAATTATCTAAAATAGAAAACAAGGAAACAGATAAGGCAGCTGAGGATATAGCTCTGTGTTAGAGTACCTCTGGGTTAAATCCCCATTACCTCAGAAAGAAAGAAAGGAGGGAAGAAGGAAGGGAAAGAAAGAGAGAAAGAAAAAGGAGTCACAGTTTACTATTACCTTTTAGCGCTCAGGGAGCTGGTATAATAAACATCCTACAAAGTGTAGGGCAGTCCCACACAATGAAGAACTGTCCATAAAAATACTACTACYGGGCACAGTGGCTCACACCTATAATCTCACCAATTTGAGAGGCTGAGGAAAAAGGATTACAAATTCAAGGCCAGTCTTAGCAATTTAGTGGCAAACTCAATAATTTAGCCAGAATCTGTCTCAAATTTTTAAAATTTAAAAATGGACTGAGGATATAGCTCAGTGGTAAAGTGTCCCTGCATCCAATTCCCAGTCCAAACAAACCAACCAACCAAAAACAAAAACAAAAAAACACTTTTGGTCCTTTGATAAACACGGGAAAGTTGGTTATGGCTTAACAAGTCCAAGTTTGGAGAACTTAACTCTAGGGCTTCTCAAGAGTATTCTTTAACATTTTTTTTTTTAAATCACAAATTGCATTTCACTCAGCAAATATTTACTTCCAAGCATAAGAAGATAAACCAAGGCACACTAAAATGTTAAAGAATTTATTTGGGTAGACAGCAGTTCATAAATTAGGCAGCTCCAGAATGCAAGTAGTTTGGGGCTCCATCAAACAAACACAGGGAAAGGTTTTTATGAAGTAAATACAGAGCAAGGCAATATTTGACTGGCTAAAATAGAACAGTAGCCTTATTTATTTTATTCCAGTTGAAAGCCTTTAGAAGTTAKTTGGTGGTTTAAGTTTATGTTTTCATTTTACTCAAATATGACAATTTACAGAGTTCAATGAGGTTTG